TTTAACCCCGAGCCCTGGCGCCCTCCTGGGCAGAGCCGCTCGCTGGGCTATCAGCTGGTGCATGCCAGGTCCCCTCAGCACTAGAGCCTCCTGGCCAAGAACTACGGCCCTGCCTCTTGAGCCAGAGGGGAATCTCCATCACATCCCAGCACTATAGGGCCCATGACACACAGCGGAAGAGATCTCACCCCATCCAGCAGAGGGCAGCACTTCTCCCCCCCCCCAGGTGATTGCACTATTAGCACAAACCCACCCTGTGCCAGCCAGGTGCCCCCGCCTGGCGGGGGGAGCTGGGGAACCCCTGACAAACAGAGCCAGCTGCTGCCACAAACGATTTGCAGTATGCAAATGAGCACAGGCCGGTTATGCTGATTGGCCCAGCCTGCTGTGAGGTCACAGCCGGCGTCATGGAGCCGTTCCGGAGGCACTGCCCCGAGGGGAGAGCGCCACCTAGTGGAACCCCCGACCTCTGCACCCCCCACACCAGCGCGGCCCAGGGGTATGGGGCGAGCTGGCCCTGTGGGCACAGACTTCAGCCGCGGGCAGAGCTCTGCCCCCCAGTGCCTGCTGCCCCGGCTCACCCATCTGCCAGCCATAGACGAAGTTGGTGGTGACGGGGGTGTAGTACTTCTCCTCGGGCGCGCGGGCCGTGCGGAGGGTCAGGTAGCGCCGCCGGCCCTCGCCGTCCTGGGAGATGCCCTGGTACAGCAGCTGCCGCACCTCTGGCGCCACGGGCATCATCTCCCCCTCCTGGATGCCTCCAGCGGCCCTGGCGGGCTCCTCGGGCGGCTGCTCGGCCTGGGGCACGGGCGCCGGAGACTGGAGGGCGGGCAGCTTGAGCGGCTGCCCGGTGGCCTGCCGCCGCTGGCGCAGCTGCTCCTGCCTGGCCTTGACGGATGCCCCGTAGCGCTGGTGCCAGCGGAAGCGGAGCATCAGCTCCTTGAGGTATTCCTCCTTCCAGAAGTCCTGCTGCAGCGTGTCCATGTTCAGTTGGCGCGCCATGGTGGCACCTGCCGGCCGCCCCCGGGTTCCCTGCGCTCAGACGCCCCCGCGGCTACCCCCGTCTTCTGCCACGGGCCGGAGTGCTGCGGGGTGCCCCCCTGTGGCCAGGCTGAGCTGCGCCCCAAGGGCCTCCTGCACCAGGTAACCTGTGGGCACAAGTCTGGGGCTCAGGTCCTGTCCCTGCTGCCCTTCCCCGCCCCCAGCCCGGGGCAGCTGGTACCATTGTCAGCTGTGTTGCCATGGCAGCTGCATCACAGAGGCCGGGGGCAAGGGGCTGCCTGGCGCTGACCCGGCTGCCCTGCTCCGGGGCCCCAGCAATGGCTCTAGGGCAGGGATGTCTGAATCTCACCCAGAGCAGCCCCCCAGCGGTGCCCTCCATCCCCACAGCTGCCCGCGGCCCCTGCTGGCCAGCCCAGGGGGCACTGAGGCTGGGCATCACTGTTCACATGCTGCCTGTCCCTGTGGCACCTCTGCCCCCTCGGTGAGTGGGGGGCGACACCAGCTGCCCCCAGGATCGGATGGGCCAGGGCTGTACTGGTGCTGATGGGAAAGGGGGGGTTGCTCTGGGAGTCACTCCCCCACGATGTTATGAGTGTAGTTGTCACGGACTCACAGATCATGCCCACTCTTGGCCCCGTGTGGTCCATGGGGGGAGCCCCCTTCAGTGCGACAGCCCTTCTCAGGGGTCCGCTCTGTCCCGGGGTCAGGCCCCTCCACCTCCTGGAGCCGCACCTCTCTGCGCCTTAGCACGTTTGTCTCTGCCGTGGGCCACCTCAGGGAGTCCCTTCACTCTGTAACCCTGGGGCCTCCACCCCCGAAAGGGTTGATACAACCCTGTTCTCTAGTGTGACGGAGCAGGGAGCAGGGCAGATTTGACATGGCAATGGTTAACAGGAGGACCAGTGGTGAAGTGGGACTACACTCGAAGGAAGCTACCTGAGC